TCCGACGCTTATACACTAACCCCTTTTTTTATAACCTGCTGGTCACAGGTACTATAATCGAATCTACCAAAAACAGTCTCCAAAACTCCTCTGACAAAAAAATAGATTTGATCCACTCATCCCTTCTCGTATGCGGCCTTTCGGAAAACTACGAGGACTCAAAATAAAATAAAACCAAAAACCACGAAAAGTAAAAAACAATAAACCAAATTACCGAAAAAGAAAAAATAAAACCAAATTCACGAAAAGTAAAATACAGTAAAACAAAATCACCGAAACAGAAAAAAGAAAAACTTGTTGAGCTCTCCCCTCTCACTTTTTTTACCTATATTTGGACATTACGGGGTACAGCGTGGAGAGTTTAACCCCCCACGGACCTCCAGCAAGCTTAGCAAACCTTACTAAAGCAGCGAGAGAGACCTCCGGGGGTAGCCCCGGAGGTTTGTTTCCCATACGATCGCCGAGATGGATGCCAAGGTAGCTTCTTCATCTGTCGACAACCGGTGAATCCGGCTCAGGCTAGCACATATTGCGGCTTTCTTTGCGGACTTCCTTGAGTACGAGTGGTAGTCTTGCATAAAATGAATCCTAATCCTTCTGTGTCTGGCAAGTTGCTCCTGGTTTCTGGTTCGGGGGAAAATGTGAATCCGGATGGGCGCAGGTTCAACCATCATCCGCGTTCCCAGAAAATCAAACACATTTGTGCCCTCCTCCCTTCGAACCAACCATAAGTTCTCATCATAGCACCTCTCAAACAGATCAAGAATACATTCGGCAAACATCACCGACTTTCCATTACTAGCTTCACATGCCGCCATCACCACAACATTATCTATCATTCTCATCCTCTGGATTATGTCTCGATCACAGCCCAGGGACTCCAAAAATATGGCTTCCGACCTGGCACATACCAGACATGCTAGTGCCGGACTGGAATTCCTTCCCATAGGAATTCCGAACACCTGCCTCAAAAATTCCCCGGCACATTTGACGAAAGTATTGTCCAACTCGTAGTGTACGGCACTCATCAATAGATCAAAATCCAGGAAAACAAAACCTTCTGTCTTCTTACTATTCCTGGCCATCATACACATCCTCACTCTCTGGCTTACTCTTACTCCTACACTCTTTCTCTTCCTGTGAAAACTGATTATCCATCTAACCGCTTCAATCACACTCTCGTGTGATAGCCTTGCGAACATATCTTTAATATCATAGTTCCGGGCTACTGCAAAATCTCCCTCTTTCCTCAACCTCTTCTCGATTTCTACTGACTTTACTCGTAGATCATCGGTACACCTCAGCTCAAAGTGCCTGCTTTCCCCGATTCCTTGAAGCATAAACCGTACTGCTCGTCCCACCCGTAACCCGGCGAGACGCGCCGGATCTTTCGTCGCCGGTGATATCGGTTGCCACCTCTCCAAATCTTTGTCCTTCGGAATGACATATGCCTGCCCCACTTGTCCTCCCTTGCCCCACTCTCCTATCCTCTTCAGTCCTCTCTCCTCATAGTCACTCTTCATTGCTTTCAAAATTGCTTCCTCGGTTCGTTGTACTAAACAGAAGTAGGAGCTCCTATTGAACACCTTCTCACAGGCTTCTAGGTACAACACCGGACACACGATCAACGTAGCTCCGGGATTTCTATCTATTGGTACAGCAATAAGGTGCTCGATCCCGCGAAACCAGTGCCTTACCTGTTGGACGGTCATCGCCTGAACCTCCAGAGCCCCCCTCACTTTAAAGCACGCAGCCACCTCTGTCTCATCAAGAACCATTCGTGTCCCTCTCGCCCAAGTTCTCACTCCTTCCTTCACGCATCTCCGCAACTCGTCGTCAGAAATATCTCCCCCACACGTCACATTCCTCGAATTCTTCACAAAATTTGGAGCCTCAGGTACATCGTCCAATCTTACTTTCACATGACCATCGGACTGTGGAAGATCCGTTCCCGTACACGTACATTCGACCACTTCAGCTCCTGCACACAGGCGCTGGTTGTGGATCAGTTGCCCTACCGTATATCTCCTTCTGAACACTACCCTGACCCTTGCGGATACGTATCTCGCCAGGCAGGGATCACGTATCCCTTGTCCAAGCGCCTTTGTAGCAAGCTCTCTCACTCCCCGAGGGTTGATTGCGGTAGAGAACGACAGTCTTACAAACGGCCTTCTCCTGATCTCAGTGCTAAACACTGCCTTGACAACTCTCGTAATTCTGATCTTCAACAAGTTCTGCGTCACCTTCCTCCCAAACGTACTGGCTGTTTTGAACAAAGCAATGAGCTCAGCGGCGCTCTTCTTGTGCAATTGCCTCACCCTCCACGGTTGCCGTAGCAGATCACGCAGTACATACCTCCTGTGCACCACGCCCGTTGAGCTGATTCGGATCTTTACCACCCTGAACGTTCCTCTTTTCTCAATCTCACCCTTGCACTCGCCAAGAGCTCGCTCCTTCCCGTGTATCTCAAGTGTGCTATTCCCTATCTTTCCCTTCACTATCTTCCATTTCTCCGCCCACAATTCTCCTCCATAAGACTTGAACTCCCCATTTCTACCCATTCGCTTAAATAACGTAATCAGGGACGCAGTCCCTCCGAACGTGATTACCCTCCCTTGTCTTTCCGCCGCTAGCTTTTTTCCTCTTTCCCTTTTTCCTTTTCTCCTCCTTGTCTTCCTTCTTCCCTCGTTCCACCCCTGGGTATTCAATGTCTGAGAGAACCTCCCAATCAACGCTCTTTCTACTATCCTCGGTTCATCCACTCCCACCACCATGGGTAGTACGAGGTACTTCTCCCAACCGAATACTCTCAACCACGCATGCAGTTTTGGGGCATTCCCCACACTTCCCGTAATTGCGCATTTCACGTGCTCAGTCCAACGCAAGATGAAACTCCTCGAGGTGCAGTCTATATAAGTATGCCTACAGCACGGGCTCACCAATACATACACACCTGCCTCCTTCGTTCTCAGATCCTCCGTATCCCCACTCAACATCCCAATCCACTTCCTTGCCCACGGACATTCGCCTCTAAATACGACCAAGACAAACCGAAACACAATCTCATCTTCCACCTCAGCATTCAGAGTTCCGCTGAACGGCTCTCGTTTCCCTCTATTCTTCATCATCCCCTGTAGTGTCCGTAGATCTTTCATCCTGACAGGTTCGGATGACACACAACTCGACTTACCTTCGAGATAGTGGTGACACGTGTGCAGAATCGCTTGCTTCTCCAAAAGCTAACTTTGTCCTGCATCTAACTATCTCACTCACCGCCACATCTTTCCTTGTCCATTCAATCCCTTCTTCGTTACATATCTTGCGCAGCTCAGGTGCTTTCTGCGCGGACATTGTCATGTGCAATTCCAAAACGAATTCCAGCATCCCTCCATATATTCCCTCCTCGGCTCCTCTGTCCTTCGGTGGTGGCGTATGCGTTTCCTCAGGAATATCCTCAATGATAATTGGCGCAGTCCTCGTCGTTTTAACCCGAGCAGCTAACATGGCTCTTTCTTCCCCCTTCTTCTGTTTCCCTTTCCTTCTCTCGATTGCGTCCACGAGTCTCCCCGCTTCCCTCCTCACCTCCTCGCTCTCGTCCTCGGATTCATCAATATAGCTACATATCTCTCTCAGCATATGAGCTTTAGTCCGAGGCGACTTCTTTCTTATCACCGGTGCAGTCGTGCTATGCACATGTTTCGTATGCTGATTCACCAATTTAACCATCTTCGCTTCCAGACGTGCCTCTCGTGCCTCGACTTTCCTTATTCGCTCGGCTTCTTTTCTCATATCCTCTTGCTTCCTCCTATGTTCCTCACGTTCTATGCTAATCCTCTCCTCCTCCATTTTCTTCCTTTGTATCTTCTTCCGAAAATACGTCTTAATCTCGTTCATCTCTTCATCTACTACTCCGGGCTGCTGTCCTTGTTGCACAGGTGGCTTTCCGTTCCCGGCAGCCCAACAGTTACGGGCGTAGTGCCCGGTTTTTCCACAGAGATAGCAGGTCACCGTGCCGGGTGGGTTTCCTCCCGGGTTGACACCCGGCACCCCACTCTGTACCACCCCGGTATACATAGGTACCTGTGTTTGAGGGATAAACTGCTGAGAACCCGCCATCCTAGCCGCTCCCCCTTCCTTGTCTCCTTCTCCTCCTCCTCTGATCCCTCACCAAGAACCCTATACTATGCACTCTACCCAAAACTGCCTCTAGATACCCTATCGCTTCTTCCTTACTGGCTTGATCTTCGAAATGGAGAGCTACAAAGATCGCGGGGGTAAGCGTATACTCAATCAGTCTCTGTAACTCATTCCACTGTCTCTCAAATTCAATGTCCCTAAAATTACGCGTCGACATCACTCCTATACTTACACTTGAATGAAAACCTCATAATAATCTTTCGTTTTTTCACAAGCTTCTTACCATCGGTAACGTGGGAAAATACCAATCCACCAAACACCGTAGCAATCAAGCATCCCCACACCACAAATCTCCTCGTTCCTGCCTTAAACATCACCGCGTTCTTCCTCAAGACGATCACGCTTGAAACGGCAAAAAAGCAGAACAGGCTTCGTATGTAGCCACCGCTCCTCTGTCAGCACATGTCGGTTACCACGCTTCTGGAGATACAAGGATAAAAGGTGAGGTAGCTGCCACACGCAGTGAAGGACCTCAATATCAACATTAAACACTCCTCCCACATGCGAGCATCCCTCTCCCATTCGTAGTGACGTAAATACTCAACCAACCACTCATAGTCTCTCAAACACATCACCTTCCCGCCTATCGTACAATCCCATCACGCATCCCTCGACGCGTTTCGTTGCTGGCGCTACAGCAACTCATCAGGAGGCTTACYCGAGAGGTAAGTACARCCCATAATGAATATCCCACCTCTGTCTCCGGCTTTTACACTTGCTATCTCCATGTCTCAAACACACGTAAGTCTGTGATGTCGAACGCARCCAACTACACTCCTACCTTCTACATCGACTAAACTGGACTCCCGACCCCGTACTCTCCCTTTCCTCTTYCATCCCCATCTACCCTCCCTCCTCGTATTCTCCATTCCCACGTAACGTCTTTCCCTCCTTACTCCTCGTCTTCCTTCCTCCATTTTCTGGCKATTCCTAGCCCTGTCTACCATCCTCTTCTCCTTCCCCTTCCGCCTCCCCAAAATTCCACCCGTATTAACCCGGATTTTATGCSTGCTGGCTTGGTTCCCCATAGTCTGGACCTATACTTACCATATCCGCTTCTGCCGGTCCGACAGACATCTTCTCCCACGCCTCTTCTACCCACGTAAACGCCAGCCGTCTCAGGACTTACATTCCTCTCCTCGATMTACCCATTTTCTCGCTGAATCCAGTCAGGTTGCTCAGAACGTCCTGGACTACGAACAACGTCCTCGAGTAGTCTGTCGGGTGTGGGTCCCAAAAACCTCCCTTGTGCGTGCTCTCCGACGCTTATACACTAACCCCTTTTTTTATAACCTGCTGGTCACAGGTACTATAATCGAATCTACCAAAAACAGTCTCCAAAACTCCTCTGACCAAAAAATAGATTCGATCCACTCATCCCTTCTCGTATGCGGCCTTTCGGAAAACTACGGGGACTCAAAATACAATAAACCAAAACCACGAAAAGTAAAAAACAATAAGCCAAATCACCGAAAAAGAAAAAATAAAACCAAATCCACGAAAAGTAAAATACAGTAAAACAAAATCACCAAAACAGAAAAAAGAAAAACTTGTTGAGCTCTCCCCTCTCACTTTTTTTACCTATATTTGGACATTCCGGGGTACAGCGTGGAGAGTTTAACCCCCCACGGACCTCCAGCAAGCTTAGCAAACCTTGCTAAAGCAGAGAGAGAGAGAGAGAGAGAGAGAGAGAGAGAGAGAGAGAGAGAGAGAGAGAGAGAGAGAGAGAGAGAGAGAGAGAGAGAGAGAGAGA